AGCTTAATAGTGGGGTTCAAGTCAACCAAAAATTGTCCAACATTTTATGCGCTTTGGCCACCCAGCCCTTGAAGTTTATTTTTCAGGAAAATGAATTACAGGAATGTGCTTCCAAGGTGAGGCTTTATGATTTTGTTTTCCAAATTTAGAGTTTTCGAGTAGCATTTTGATGTAGGGACAGTTGTATTTTCGACATTTTTCCGACTTGAACCCCGCTAATCTGGTCAAGAAGTAATTAAACAAGAACCCAAAATATTTCCTGTTCTTTTTGACAAAGGATATTACATTTTTGAACTGAGAATATGCATCTCAAGAAAATAGCAAAAAAAAGAATCATACAAAGGGTTCATACATTTTTCTAAGAAATCCAGATTTCAAAAAATGTGACTATGTGATGATCAAACTCAAGTGATTTTTAAGAGTCTCAAGAGTTTTAGTTTTTTTGTCTTTTATTGAAAAAACATTTGAAGAAAGAATTTGTGATTTCAACTTGAAGATTATTCATATTGTTAGGAAAACTGCTGGATCTTTTGAGTTGATTTCTGTTTGAGAGAAAAGTAGAAAATGAATAAATCAGTTATGTATGATTCTTCTATTCTTTTGAAGTGAATAAAAAATGACCAACCATCCAATAAAGGTACAAAGCACATCTTAAGTCCAGATGAAGTATATATGGCTCTAATCTCAAATTGATCAGAATATTGATTTCCAAGTGTAACATAAGGTTTGCTCATATCAATTCCGGTAGTGCTAAATGTAGGATTATTGAAATCAAGACTTTCGATTTGTTGAAATAAATTTAATTCTTTATTGAAGTTTTGTTTACAATTTGAATTGTTTGTTAAATTTCTTGGTGGAATTGAACTCATTATAGTCATCAATCTTTCACATCTTGGTAATAATTTTTTTGAACGACCATTTAAGCTTGATGATTCGGTCGTTTTGAATAAAAAGATTATGAGGATTGAATAGATTAAGAATTTTGGTGAGGTTTGAGTCATGGTCTTGGTAGGTGTTAGGCTTCGGATAAGGTGTGGTAAAGGTTCGAAGTTCTCGAGTCAATTGAAAGGAATAATTATACTATCAAAGTTTGTGAAAGAATTTTTGATGAAGATGATCAGGAGTAAGGATTGTATGTATGAACAATCTCCTTGCTGATAGGAGACCGAGAGCCCCATCAATGCCGAGTTGTTTTCATGCAATTTCTCGTTTCTGGGTAACCATAATGATATCGCCGTGATGGACTGGAATAATCATAATGTAACCATCCTTCAGGAGTTCGTTCAGCTGTAGACAAGGCCATCCGGGCTGATCGAAATTCGCACCGTCATATTTGTTGAATTCGTCAAGCTTAGTTGAGACGACGACATTAAAGGACAGGTGACAAGTCATAAAGTCGTCATCACCATGCTTCGTCGTGTCGATTCATCATAGAAAAGAGATACCATGTCTCGCAGCTGTGCAGTTTGCTCGAAGTCATGAGAATCTGGGTGATCGCATTCTAGCTCAACTATTCGAGTTCGTTTCCTTGATTGGGTTTTCAACCCACAATGCACACGTAGAAGCGGCTCATTCCTGCTAATGTAGCAGGGTCTTTAGCCCAAAACCGAAGCTACAATTAGGAGTTAGTCTGAAACGGGCCCTTACAGAATAAGGACCAAGACGTTTCAGACTAGTTTCCAGGACCAGTCAATTATACATTATTAAGAATGTAAAGGGTCCTGGAGAAGTCTACGAACAAGGCACAAACCCTGTTCGAAGCATGATTGGTAGTCAATCTAAACGAGCAATGAACCCCGAGGTAAATTGATATAAAGAGAAGAACGATTCCCCCTTGTAATAGTTCTTCAGTTAGACATTCCGTTATCTGTTGTTATCATCTTTCAATTCACCTTTTATCTGTTATCATTTTAGCTTCTGGTTCATAGTTGTCTTTTCTACGTTTTACGCATTTTACAAAACACTCAGAAATCAATTGCCGGTTCCTCGTCGCCTTACATTGCTCCTTGTTAACGCACCATAGCCAATCAATTGTCTGTTCTCTGTTATTGCATAAAACCCAGATCTCTTACGAGATCCTTTCACCTCATCCCTTTTCGTGCCCTCAAAGCTCGCCCTAGGTATCTAACCCTGAGTACTTAACGTGGGTAGTTTTGTCCCTGTTACACTGGTAGCGAGAGCTTATTCTGATCTGACTAACCTTTGGAATTTATTTGAAAATTACTTTTTGTGTTCCTTTCCAAACAAATTAGTTTTTATCAGAAAGAAACGGTATCCAGTAGTATATAACAAACAAATTTTCAAACAAACCTTCGGTAAGTCCAGTTTATCTTGAGCTTAGAAAGCACAGAATTGAGGAAGAAAATAAGTTTTGAAAAGCTTACCAGTTGATTAAACTTTTATGATACATTTAGAAAAGATGTCTCAATCAGCTTCGACCTCTGGACCACTCTTAGTCCCGATAACCCTAAATGAGGACAAAGTTACTCGCCTTTTGGAAGAATTGCCAGCCCCTGAGAATCAGGAGCCTGCTTTAGCCGGTTTAGGATGGACAACCCCTCAGATAGTAGGATTCACCCTGAATGAAACGGTGTATTATCACACGCTGCAAAAGAATAAGGAAAAGTCCCTTTTTAAGTTACATCCGGTGGTGCAGAAATTACTAGGAGTCAATGAAAGAGGACTTACCCCGGAAGATCTCGAAACCCCGTCGAAGTCTTGTCCTCCTAATCCCCCGATTGATCCTGTCACTTGTCCGGCCGAGGTATCCTACTTCATGCCGGACACTCCTTTTGTAATGAAGCCCTCTTCAACAATGAAGTTCATCACCTATGCCCCCAAGAAACCGGCGACTGATCAAACTACTCCAGAAAAAGGGAAGGCCAAGGAAAACCCGTCAACCAACGAAACTGTCAAACCAGCTGCTCGATATTATCGATCAGAAGAGCCACCGACCAGTCCAGTCTCTAATGCAAAAATTGACGATGTTGATACGGTCATGAAGAATAACGACGTTAAACCAGAAGTGTTCAACCCTTTTACCGACCCCGCAACGTTAGCAGCCTTCTTCAAATGGCAAGCATCTCTTGAAGTGGATAAAGGCAAGATCATCAGTGATGTCGCCAAGATCAGTCTTAATCAAGCGACTAGCGGGGATGAACCCCGTGCCTCAGCCAGTCCTTTTGAATCCAATCAGGGTGGTTTTCCCACTGAACGTGACTCCACCAAGACCATCAAGAGTTTAATGATTCGCAAATTCCCCAAATTCGACGGGACTTCGCCAACAGACGCCAACATCTGGCTCCAAAACCTTGCCAAACAGTTCAAACTGCTGAATGCCGATTGACAAGGATGGCACTTAGTTGGATTCCAGATGTTATCCGGCCCTGCGCTTATTCATTTAACTGCAGTTGTCGACACCCCTCAAGAACCAGCTTCTTGGGATGAGTTTTGTACTTATCTCGTCGCCGCTTTTCCCAGCATCCTGACGAGAAATTCTATCGCCGAACGTTTCGAAAACTTTTCTTTTCGCTCCGGTGAGAAAGTCATGGACGCCTTTGGTAGATTTCAGCTTATTCAAACCGACGCGGCTCAAATCAGTTACCCATATGATGAAGGAACCATGTTCATGAGAAAACTTCCCCCCCAGATCCGAAAATTTGTTCAACAGGAAGTGGATAGGGAAGCAAGGAATGGAGTCACTATGTCCTTTCCCAAGCTCATCCTGTGTGCAAACGCACAGGATGTGTTGTTACGCCCAAATGGCGCATCAGTTAATTCAGTTTCACAAGATCACGCAGCGCGTTCGAAAGGAAATAACAAACGCAAGGCTAGTGAGGTGGCAATGAAGAAGAATGATAGAACTTGTTACAATTGTGGTAAGAAAGGTCATATCTTTGGTACCATCGAAAATCGTGAGTGTCCTGAACCTGCATCCTCTAGGACTCTTAACTACTTCAAGAAAGTTAAAGGCAATCCAAAAGCTAGTGGATCTGGAGAGTCAAAAGCATAGGCGAATCATGTATAGCTCTTAGTGATTTGCCTAGTCCGGTTTCAACTTCTATTGTTTCATTAGTCACCATTCCTTTTGATGAAATGAATTCCCATGTTGTTGTTAATGAGCCAGAAGTCGAAAAGACTTCAAGTGAGAAACAAGTAAAAGTTCCAACAGTTTCGAGTAAGATTGTATCAATAGCTGAGGGAACGATTTGTGAGAAAACACCTTTGAAAATAATTCAGAGCGAAGAAAAGAAAGAAATCAAAAGGATTTCGTGGAAGTCTCCCAATAGTAAAGTAAATCAGACTCCTACTTCGGCGGTCAAGAGTGTTAACTCAGTGACAGAGTTAGAACCACCGATTAAACGTCCAAGCATATACAACTATCTTGGTCGCTCCTGTTGTGACGGGAAATGCTGCCTAACAAGTGCAACGGTACTTGCATCCTCACCGGCCAGTGAGCCCGAGAACGTGACATCTGGAGTAATCAAGGATAGCTCCCTTGATTATTTGGCAGCCATAGAAGATGACTCAGGGTTGCCCCGAGTTGAGTTTGTTCTGACACTGAACAAAATAGCTACCAGAATACTATTAGACACTGGAGCTAAGAAGTCTTATGCTTCTCAAGCATATGTCGATGAAAGTCGTCGAAAAACCCGTCCAAACCCACTTCAGCCTACGGTTTATGGGGTTTGGGGGAAGGCACAGAAGTGCAATCATCTTGTGGATATAGATATTGAATTTGAAACTATATCTATTCTACATGATTTTAGGGTGGCGCCACTAGCTTCCTATGATCTCATCCTTGGGATGGATTGGATAGGTCAGTACACCAAGTCTACCAATTGGTCCACTGGAGTTTGGGTACTCCAGGATAGGGACGGTAAGGAACAGGAGTTCCGACCTGCGTCGATTATCAATCCCGCTGAACAGTTGTGTTTAATTGATGGTGACGGTGTGGTGATCAATTTATGGGATCAATTAAAAAATTCACAATTACCAGTTTACCAGTTTATTAGCAGGATTCAGCAGGAAAGAAAATTCGAAATGGAGGTTTTTGATCAATTGAAGCTCTTGTAGGCTTATGTATTGGTCATTAGGTCAACATTACATCATTTTATTTCACATTATATATTAAGATCATTATAGTTTACTTACAAATTTATTACAAAAAGAAAGAAAGAAAAACATAAGAAAAATTCGAAATTATAGGTATAAGGGTTGGAAAATGGTTTTTAGGTTAGTAAAAATAAAGTTATGGGTATTATGAGGTTAGAATATGAAAGAACAACATTATAAGATACTATGACAATTTTAATCTTCAAGGTTGATAAGTAGAAACAGAAGTTATTAGGAAAAAAGCACTTTTTCGAAGTTGGTAAACAAGAGGTACACGTGTAGTTTGGTTGTGTAATAGTGGTAGTGATGGAATTTAAGGTTGCCAAGAGGATTTTCCGGGATTTTTAAAGCTATAGATGATGATGTAATATTACATGAGCAAGAAAGGCTTAGTAGTAGCTGTGAAAAGTGAAGAAAATGGGTGAAATTCGTGGAAAATGGAGGATTTCAGCTAATTACATATGTCAAATGACGTCAGAATAGGTTGGTAGATGGCTCATTCAACGCAGAAGAGTGGATTACATAATGTACAATCTTTAAATCATTAGTAACGGAGGTGTGTGTAAAAAGTTATAAGGCAAATAAAGAATTGGTGTGAATCTCGAATTTACAGTCACAAGTCATATGTAACACTAAAAACCTTAACTTCACAACTCAATATCTTACTCATCACTCATCAGAAGTAGGTCATGTAGGTGTCAGAAATGATCAGTAACACGTGGACTACAAGATGCACTTTAGTAATCAAAAATTGGAGCACATCTGAAAAAATTCGTAATCTCAAAAATTGGTTTTCAGCTAGTTTACAAGGAAAAAATCACCTGTATTCATCATAAGAAGTGCTGTACATCATATTATTGCGTCATTGATCACTTTTAGCTGTGAAAATTACATCATTTATTAGTAACAAAACCATTACATTGCGTCATCATAGGGTTTTTAGGGAATTTTGGGCGGATTTGATTGGTTTTGAGGCTGTTGACCATTGTAAAAGTTCTAGTACATTGTTATATATACTTTGAGAGGGTTTTGGGACTGTTGTTCCCCTTTTTTTTCTTTATCATTTACGCCATTATTATTTTGTTTATCATCATAAACTTATTTTAATAGTACCTGTTCACTTAAATACGCCCTTTATTACAGTTATAAAGAGAAATTTACTTTAGTTTTATAGTCATAAAGACTTATTGGGAATAATATCAATCAGATATTGCTTATTTTTTTTCAGTTATCAATTGGGAATAACACTATAGCAGTGTTGATAGTAATACAAAGTGTGCTTTTGAAGTTAAAATTACGTGTGAAGTTATATTTCTCTGGTGCCTTATCAGTACTCAATACAACAGAGCTCTTTCTGATTGTGTTGTTTTAGAAGAGCAGTCCTTAGACAACTTCTACTAGTCATTTTATTAGTAGATTATCCTCTTCCAGCTCTGTATAACCCTTGTTGGGTTATAAGTTCTACATATTGGTGACTCTGCCCGGGCTTGACAAATTAAAATCAACTTATAATTAAATCAATTTCTCTTTTAATCATTATCAACAAGCAAATTATATTATATTACATCAAGATTCAATAAAAATTATTCACGTGGTTATCAACAGAAGATCTTTAAAATTAAAATTATTCAAATCAATCATAAACATTATCTTTCATTCTCATTTAAAAATATATCAAAATTAGTTCTTATTTAAAGAATTTATTATATAAAGAAGCTATGTCTTCAGTTATTCAAATGCATAATCAAGATGTGGCGGATGATGGAGATGAGGAATTAGAATTACCACCAACATCTCATTATAAAAGAACTCCACAAATTTCTGGAAGCAGAGTTTATGTTGTACTATTGATCTTGTAGAAAGATTCGCAAGCAGCGTGCGCTGGCGTCTGGGAAGGGATTTTTGAGTCCTCCTTTTTTCTTTT